TGTCTGAATTAAACATCTCTGAAGGGGTGACACATCTGTCTGAATTACACATCTCTCAAGGGGTGACACATCTGTCCGAATAAAACATCTCTGAAGGGGTGAGACACCTGTCTGAATAAAACATCTCTGAAGGGGTGCCACAATTAATCAGTGATGATTACAGATCAGTGACATTACTGATGACTCTGGGCACCTGGGACAGGGGTGACTCTGGACCATGTTTGGGACCCCAGACCTAAACTTGGACAACACTTTGTTTCACAGTTTTTCTGTCTGAAATAAAAAGTGTCTTCAGTCAGAGCATTTCTCAACAGCGCCCAACAGGAAGTGATGTCAGCCTTCACAGCATCACTTAATGTTTCCGCCACTTTGATCAGAATCGTCAATAATCAATTGATGGCTCAATAAACTTTTTAACTTCAGTGCAAACCTGTGATTAGTATTTGTTACAAAAGATGTCACGGTGTCATCAGCCAATCACAACGCAGACTGTCTCATAAGTTCTATTTTGTGATACACATGAACCTGATGACATCACATGATCAATCTGAATGATTGACATCATGCTCTTTGAAGCGAGATGTTGGCGAGCTGAAATGCTGTCACTGAAAAGAAGCTCCACCCCTGGCCATTTAAACACCAACAGGTACCTCTAAATGCTCCCCGCCCTCCTCTGCAATCATGTAACAGTTTTTATGAGTCTGGGGCATTTAGCTCCTCCTAGTTTTTGTAAGGGCTCATAAAAGGGGTGGGGCTAAGGCCATGTTGCCAGCTGCTACGTTTCAAACTGTGTGAGTAGTGCACGAACTTCAGGTGTAAGCTGTTTAGCAGCACTGGCAGCCTCGGCGATGGCACGACGGTACGGGCCCTTCCTCTTCTTATCAAACCGCGACTGAAACGTCTCAAGAAATGGCGAGAGCTGTGGGAGCGGCAGGAAGGAGGTGGTGGGCGAGCCAAACCAGGAGACACGCGCCTCCTGTCGCACTGCCAGCCCTGTGCTACCACGGCGTGCCACTGTGATGCCTAGCACTCGCGCTGGCCACCACGGAAAGCCATAGATCTTGGCCCAGACAATGTCGCCAACGCACACAGTGCGGCCATCTGGCAACAGACATTTTGACACGGACTTGGAAAAGACGGAGGACGAAGACGCGGATGAGGACGACTTGCGACGCCGCTTTATGCCACATCCTTCCTCCTCTGCCTCGCCGTTCGCTGTGAATGAAGCAGGGGAGGTGGAGGCAGGACAGTGAGGAGGTAAGGAAGAGGATGGGGAGGGAGGCGCTACAGGGGTAGGGGAGGAGGAGTAGGAATACGGGTCTCCAGAAGGAGCAAGGTCAAAAGTCTCTGTGGAGCTGCACTCTGAGTGAGAAGAGTCTAAGGAGGAAAAAGAGGAAGGTGGAGGAGGCTCCACCTCTTTCCAATGATTTCCTTGCCCCGCCCTTTCAGCCTCAGGTGTTTCTATGGCAACAATGGCTGCAGAGGAAGGGGAAGGAGCTGTACCTGAGGGTGGGGGAGTGTGAACTAGGCTTGTGGCAGGTTTGGAAGGTGATGCTGATGCTGATGCGGAAGGCGGAACCGGCACCGGTTCATCAGTACGATACCTTTGGGGTTTGAGGCGGAGTCTAGGCGGCAGCGGCACATGGGAGCTAACAGCGGCGCTGCTCAGGTGCTGCAGGCGGCGCGTGAAGTGGACCTTCTGGTTGTGGTTTTGCAGTGCAGCAGCCCTAGTCACAGCCTTGCTGTGGTTCTGGTTCTTATCCTGGTGTGTTGGCAAGTGGTGTGGTACCAGCTTCTGCAAAACCTGCCGGGCCTTGGTGCGGTCAGCAGTAGAACTCTTAGCCAGAACTTTCTTGGAGTTCAGTTTCAAGTAATCGTGGCTGGACGAAGCTGTTGAAGATGAAGTCACACTCCTAAGTACGCGGCGGGATGACGATGATGAAGAAGACATATGTATTCCCGACGATGAACGCCTCTCAGGGGCAGGACGTCCTCCTCTGTCATTGCCCCTCAGACGTTTCAGCTCAGTGGAAATTGGTACGTCTATAGCACGTCGCCGCCGTGAAACGTCAATGCTCCTTTGCTCTCCTGGACCTCGTCGGACCTCCCTGTATCCACTTGATACCACAACGCCTTTACACTTGTCGCAGAGGACCTGGCGTGGGCGGAGCTTGATTGCATTCATAATGGAAGTGGACTCCTCGCAACGGTAGCGCCGCTTAGGTCGTTTGATCTTGCGTGGAGGCGGTTGAGGTAAGGCTTGGTTGTAGGTGTCCCTGATGAACAAAGGAGGTGGGTACAGGGCCCCCTCCTGAAACAAGGGTGGGGGTTTTGAACTCCAGGGATGGGGAGCGGGTTGGCATGGAGCAGCAGCCTCTTCCTGTTTAGTGGACGTCTCATTGTCTACAATCAAAGGCAGCAGAGATGGTGGAGGTTGACTGCGTTCTTCACGTCTGGGAAACACAGTGACGGGGATCCCATAGGGTCCAAATCTGGGCACAAAAACAAAGATCACTTTTAACATCATCATCAACGACGACTCTTCCTGTTAGGGCTGGGCCACATCATATCGTTCACAATAATACCGGTAAAAAAATAAACTTGCCCGGGAATATAAATTATATCATGATATGCTAATTTCATAGCGTAAATACATCAGTGTTTCCCCTACCATTTTTTTATTTTTTTATTCAACCTTTATTTATACAGGTTAATCCCATTGAGCCACGGGGACTCATTTACCAGAGATCTGAATTTTTATCAAAGAGTGATGACTAGGGCTGGGTACCGAACCTGGGTTCTTTTATGGGGTGTATGTATTAAAACTTGCCTCTTCTTTCAGAGTCAAGTTTCGGTGATTGGCTGTAACGATACACGTGGTTTCAGCACGCAGGCAGGTAAAATATAGACATATGGCAAACAGAGGTAAAATATAGACATATGGCAAACAGACATACAGTGAGGAAAACAAGTATTTGAACACCCTGCAACTTTGCAAGTTCTCTCACTTAGAAATCATGGAGGGGTCTGAAATTTTCATCTTAGGTGCATGTCCATTGTGAGAGACATAATCTTGGAAAAAATAAAAATAAAAATCCGGAAATCACAATGTATGATTTTTTAAATAATTTATTTCTGTGTTACTGCTACAAATAAGTATTTGAACACCTGTGAAAATCAATGTTAATATTTGGTACAGTAGCCTTTGTTTGCAATTACAGAGGTCAAATGTTTCCTGTAGTTTTTCACCAGGTGCGCACACACTGCAGCAGGATTTTGGCCCATTCCTCCACACAGATCTTCTCTAGATCAGCCAGGTTTCTGGGCTGTCGCTGAGAAACACAGAGTTTGAGCTCCCTCCAAGGACTTTCTATAGGGTTTAGGTCTGGAGACTGGCTAGGCCACTCCAGAACCTTGATATGCTTCTTACGGAGCCACTCCTTGGTTATCCTGGTTGTGTGCTTCGGGTCATTGTCATGATGGAAGACCCAACCACGACCCATCTTCAATGCTCTAATTGGGGGAAGGAGGTTGTTCCCCAAAACCTCGCAATACATGATGCTTCCATACCAATGCTTCCATACCAATGCTTCACAGTAGGGATGGTGTTTTTGGGATGGTACTCATCATTCTTTGTCCTCCAAACACGGCGAGTGGAATTAAGACCAAAAAGTTCTATAGAACTAAGACGAAATTTTTGGTCTCATGTGACCACATAACTTTCTCCCATGACTCCTCTGGATCATCCAAATGGTCATGGGCAAATTTAAGACGGGCCTGGACGTGTGCTGATTTAAGCAGGGGAACCTTCCGTGCCATGCATGATTTTAAACTATGACGTCTTAGTGTATTACCCACAGTAACCTTAGAAACCGTGGTGGCAGCTCACTTCAGGTCATTGACCAGCTCCTCCCGTGTAGTTCTGAGCTGATTCCTGACTTTTCTTAGGATCACTGATACGCCACGAGGTGAGATCTTGCATGGAGCCCCAGTCTGAGGGAGATTGACAGTCATGTTCAGCTTCTTCCATTTTCTAATAGTTGCTCCAACATTGATCTTTTTTCAACAAGCTGCTTGGCAATTGCCCCGTAGCCCTTTCCAGCCTTGTGGAGGTCTACAATTTTGTCTCTGGTGTCTTTGGACAGCTCTTTGGTCTTAGCCATGTTAGTAGTTGGAGTCTTACTGATTGTGTGGGGTGGACCGGTGTCTTTATGCAGCTACCGACCTCAAACAGGTGCTTCTAATTTAGAATAATAAGTGGAGTGGAGGTGGACTTTTTAGAGGCGGACTAACAGGTCTTTTGAGGACCAGAACTGTTGCTGATTGGCAGGTGTTCAAATATTTGCAGCAGTAACACACAAATAAATTATTTAATAAAATCATACATTGTGATTTCCGGATTTTTTTAGATGATGTCTCTCACAGTGGACATGCACCTAAGATGAAAATTTCAGACCCCTCCACGATTTCTAAGTGGGAGAACTTGCAGTCGCACAGTGTTCAAATACTTATTTTCCTCACTGTACGTGGTTACACCCAGAGCCGTATAGAGCTGCCATACAGCTGTATATGGCACTGGTTACGTCCACAGACGGGGTTCAAGCATAGATATCATATAATGTCTGTGGGTTCACGTTTCCGTGTTGTATGAACTGTGCAGCGTGTGCCGCCAAACCGCTTCATTTTACGAGCGGAAAGATGCTCCGTGTTTGTCTACAAGACCTCCAATTCCTACACGAGTCCAGTTTCACTACTTTTTTGTCTGTCTACACAGATCTCACTTGTAAATGAGTCTTCTAGGCTCAATGTAACTTAACTGTCCAAATAAAGGTTGAATGAAAAAAAAGAAAAAAGGGCCGCAGCCTCCTCCTCTCTGCATTAAAGTCAGCCTGTGATTGTTAGAGCCTGAACAGCCTGATTCAACATTTCCACGACCAGACTCTGCTTCATGTTCGCTCCTGTTTCCTGGAATATCTTACAAAAAGATTTGAAGCTCTCGACCTTTGACCTCTCTAAGTGGCTTTAAGAATCTGTTGGACTCATGGCAGGGACCAATGCAGACATGTTCCTGTTTTTAGTTTTCTACATTCGCCTTAAAATCTAGCTGTTTTTTTTTTTTGTTTGTTTTTTTGTTACATTTTCCTTTTAGCCATCCTATTTGTAAAAAAAAAAAAACCCTGCAGTATGACTTTTTATAATTGTTTATTGTTGTTGCTGTTGTCCATTGTTGTCATCTTTCTTTGTTGAAATCAGGTCTCTCTTGTAAATGAGTCCTCGAGGCTCAATAGGATTTACCTGTCTAAATAAAGGTTGATTGATTCATCCAAGAACTCCGAGGACGGCTCTGTGTCTGGGATTTCAAGTGGTAAGTTCACGTTTGTTAACGTTACTGCAACTTAACACATGCATCGCGGTGAGTTAAACTAGGATCCATGTAACACTAACAAAGATATTAGCGTGTAGCTTTATTTTACAGCTATCTATGTAGCTAGCTAAAATCAAAAGCTAACTTAAGATTGACAGTAACAGATGAAGCTTAGCTTGTAAAAATGTGCTCATCCATCGGGTCAGCTTCTTAAACAGTTCATCTAATGTTCCCTGTTTCTCCTCACAGGAGCCTCTGACCCTGATGTGAGGAGGACAGACAAAAGAAAAGAGAGATGGGGGACCACAGGACAGTCACAAACTTTGTTGTTAAAAGTTTTCTGCCTTTTTCTACAGTGGAGGCTGCATGGTGGAGGTAAGTAAGCTGTAAAGGATTTTGTTGACCAGTTAAACCTTTATCTCTCAGCCTAGATAATATTTTTTGAGCAATAATAACACAACCATGTTATTGTTGATGTTTTGTGTTCTAATGACAGCTGGAGACACCATCAGCCAGGAGCAGCTTGTTTGTGTCCAGAGAAAACAGACATGTTGATGTTTCTGAAGAAAAACTGTTCAGTGAAAAGGTCCTCAGTGTGTAGCAGTGAACATTAGACACTGACGTGTCACTGGTTTGAAACTGGTCTTTTGAACTGGAAATCATTTGTTTATTTTAATGTAAGAAAACTGCTTGGAACAGAAAAATACCAAAGTTAAAAAATAAAACTCAAGATTTGTACTGTAATGTGTACCGTATTTTTCTTCTTGTTAGAATATTAATTACAAAATTGGTACCGTAAAAGTACAGTTCAGGAACCGACACCGAAGTGAAGGTACCAGTACCGATTCCAAATTTTTTAGAAAGGCACCCAGCCCTAGTGATGACAACAGTGGACAACAACGACAACAATAGACAATCATAAAAGAAGCATACAAATTAATTTTTTTTTAAACAAGTTAAAATAAAATGGCAACCAAAAGGAAGTTGCAAAAAACAGCTAGATTGTAAGGCAGTGTAGAAAACTAAAAACAGGAACATGTCTGCGTTGGTTTTTCCAGGAACTTAACAGATGTTTTAGGACACTTAGAGAGGTCAAGATCGAGAGCTTCAGATCTTTTTACAATACTCCAGGAAACAGGAGCAGATCCTTTTGTCTAGTTCAGTCCTCACTGAGGGAACACTGCAGGTAATAATGGCCTGAGAGCGCACGCTGTAGCTGCACTCACACAGAGACATGTAGGAGGAGATGTATGAAGGCAACAGACCAGGAAGTGATTTAAAGATGAAAATGTACCAGTGGGAGAGTCTGTGTGAAATTGTATCTATTATTTATTTAAATTATACAAGCGGGGGGCACCCCACCCCTTTAACAGAACCAAGCGTGCCGAACTACCGAACCGAAATGTGCCCCCACCCCCCCACCTGTTGGTACTGTCGTAACACTAAGCTAGCCGTGCGCAACACTAGCTAGCTAAAAAGCTAAAAACAAACAACACACAGCTCAGCTGTGTACTGCATAGAGGAAGCTGAAACACCAGCAAAAGCTTCAGGGTCAATTTTGGGAAATCGGCCGATGCATTAGAAACTGATTTTACAGATTTTTTTTTTTTGTTTGTTTTAACAACAATTGTCTGAACCTCAATTATATTTCAGAGCACTGCCTTATGGCCAGTTAAAACAAGTTTGTATTGTTTCTAGGATTGGGCATCGTTTAAATTTGAACAATTCTGATTCTTTGTTTCGATTCCAATTCCTATTGATTCCAATTATTTTAGAGGCGGAGTTAAAAAAAAAAAGACATGTCAGTTCAATTCAGTTTATTTATATAGCACCAAGTCACAACAGAAGTTGTCTCAGGGCACTGAACGGAAACATTCACATATAATATATATATATATATATATATATATATATATATATATATATATATACTGTATATAATAAGTTAACACTATTCATCTGAGGAGCAGACTGCTCTGAGTTTAACTCCATCATGTTATAAATGAGCTGACCTTATGTGATGGCTCAGTTCGTGCCTTGAGCACCCAGACTCAAATGCTTTTGGCAGGATGGATTATTTCTCGGGGATTACTCTGAGGCACGGTCCAGTGGTGTGGCCATTTAATT